GTTAGGTTACATTGTCAAAAAATGTGTGCAGTCAACTGATTTTGTATTTGTATTGAATTTCTATTACAAATATCGTTAAGAAGCTGTAGTTTAATTGTTATAGATTGTACACGCCACACCCTGTATAAAGATAACTTATTAATAAATATACATTATTAATAACATACATAGAAACTAAATTCCCCTAATATGATTATGTTGTTACATCCATGAGACTAGATGATTTGCGTGGTCTTTTTTTTAAATTGCCCTTTTGCTATAATATACGACAAAATGTTATTAAAAACGTTTCCCATTTAGTTTTTTCAACAGGCAGCCGAAAGTTTATAGTCGATAAACTTATTTCTGTAATTTACCCCTTTTTTGATGATTTCGACGATTGCCTGTTAATCTTGAAGCACCCTGTACGTGGTAATGACCATGTTTGAGAATGCCATTATCTCCCATGCGCTATGTTCCATTTGTAGGACTCTCGCAGTGGTCCAGATTTAATATTCTGATTATCCCGACCCAAAGTCTGAACGGCAATAACGACAATATGACATCAGAATATCAAGCCGAGGCATTTTTAATTTTCCGTCCTCCAGCCCGGCCGGGCGTCGGGGAAAATTCTCTAGGAAATTACATTTCTTGTCTCCTTTAATAATGCAATCTGTTAACTCAACACTGCGACATCGAGGGCGCCGTGAGATTAAATCAAAACTTAACAGCCACCTTAGAAAGCCATGGAAATCGTTTATGCATATAGAGAGGTTTGTAAATGACAATATCTTATTAAATTAAATTCGAATTTGACGCAAATTTCATGTGCATTTCATTACAGAGGTACCATGTTACCGGGTAATTGATGGGTATGCGAATATACAGCCCGTCTCACTTCAGTTGCCTACTGATGTCTCGCTTATTGCAGGCAACTGATGAATTCTGGCAATTGCAGACCAGTCGACGGCTTGTTCTTATTGTTAATATTAATTTGTTCACATTTGCTTAAACTATAACATATATTTCATATTTCATGGTCATTGATTTTTGGCACCCAAAGTTATGCATCTTTGGTAGGTACTCTGGTCTTTCCCCCGATCCCCTTTGGCTCACGGAGTCATTGACCTTTGGCCTCCGAAATCAGTAACACTTAACACTCGTTGATCATCAATTAAAGATTCAAATTGTGAGTGTTCGGTAATATTGCCTGCATTAAACTGAACTTTGCTGGAGATAAGAAGATGCAAACAGTAGATGTATAAAAAAATAGCCGAATACTGGGATATTATGAATGAATTCATCGTTTGCATGGTTTTGTTTATAGGATGACGTATACGTATAAGTCCGTGCCATATGAAACACATAATCTATGTGTACAGATTTACAGCTGGTACAATGTGCCATATATGGCACTAAGCTTCAAATCGATTATAACGTAACAATTAACAATGGGTAACGGATAATTGCCAAACAATGACCGCTTAAGTAAAAGTAACAGGTAGGTATGTTGTAAGTGGGTTAATTTTTAAAATGAGAAATAACGAAAATACGTATAATACAGGCTATACAAGTTCAACCTTAATATATTGAAATATTATTTCAATGTGTGTGTGTGTGTGGTGACTTTAATTTTTATTTTTGTATTGTACAAACTTTAATATGCCTGTACTCAATAAAGAATTTTAGTTGGGCACCTTTGCTTTAATTTTTCTGTATTTTATATAGTGTAAATGCGCTTTTGGTGTGTAAATTGTAATCCTTATTTTTCTGTGTGTGTGTTAATTTGTTTGTTTGTGTGTGTGTGTTTTCTTAGTGTAGATTGTATTTTTAATTAAGCTTAAATTGTTCCATACAAACCTCTACTATCTTTTGTACTTTCTTATCCCTGGCCAGCTGTTGGTAGACACTTGTTAGATATCAGACAACATCAGAAAACCTCAGGAGTCGGTTCTATATTTACACACAAACTAGTACAATATAATACACTTTGGAATGAATAGAGATTGAAATTCAATAAAGTGTTTGTTCAAAAATTTGTTATATGACTTTCTACTTACCTTTTCATATGTAATATGTTTTCCACGACAAAGAATATTTTAATAACAAAATTTGCCTTTTTTTTTCGGCTCAGCTTACAAACAATATAAGGAATAATTCTAAAAAAAATTAAATATCAACTAACTTTATTTGATCTATGCAATACTGATTACGTCTCCTTATATTATTTGTTGCCTATCAGACAGGGGCATCTCTTATATCTACACAGGAACGAAAATGATTCAGACTAAAGTAAACTGGCTGTTCATTTGACAGATTTTGTCAGAGCTCGTGAAAATAGTGAAATATTTAAGCTGCAAGTGATTGGATTATGCTTATTTCTGTACAGGTAAGTCCTGTTGTTTGTTATTTACACTTTGCAAAGATTTGATGCGAGAGAAAGCACGATTTATTGGTGATAGCTAGCAATATTATAGTGCACTGTGTTTTAGGTACCTGGTACGTTGTAAAATTTGAAGTTTTCTTGGGCAAACTGTGGATTTAACTGGTGAGTGTTTAATTTTCTTTCTTGGACAGTTTTTTCTTGCTTTATTTTTAATTTTTCGGGAGCTGCCTCTCCACGCTATACATCTTGCAAAACCCAAGCCGTAACCAATCAATTTTTTTTGTTTTTCTCATCCCTCCTGGATATTCTGTCCCTAGCTTTGCTTAAGGTCCATACACATAATTTTTCAGTCTTTGGATGACCTTTTCAATCACTTTTTCACAACAGTACTTATAACTAACACATTTTTAACAAATGTCTTTTTATTTTTATATACAATTCTATAAATTAATTAATAAAATATTCTTTATTTCATGTTTTTTATTTAGGTCATCTCCAGGTATTCTTACAAAGCCACCTTTAGCTTTGACATTTGTGAAATTTATTATAAAATTTGACAATTGATGAAAATGTTCATGTTATGGTTTAATATAAGTCGCTCTAGGTTTAGATTCGTTTTTCTGTATGTACTGAGTACTAACAAGTGTCGACGTCATGCATTTTATGAAAATTTATTCTGTACTTGAGAATAAAATTAAAAGATTATTATTTTTATACTATGTAATATCATAATATTAACAATTTTATACGAAGTTGGTGTAGCTATAATAATAATTAAAATTTTTATACGACTTTAAGTTCGGTCAGGCAATTATTTTCATATGAGTTTCTACATGAACATTTCAAATTTGTTACAATATACAGGGTGTCCCTCTAAGGTCGGCGCGGTACGATGTTAGGGAACGTATAGGCCCTAGAACGTCGGGAAATTTTTTTTGTAGAATTACTCTAACTAAAAAAATGTTTGACCTAAATTTTCATGAAATACCTATTATAGTTTAGTATATTCCGTAGGAAAAATGACCACAATACCAAAGTACCTAAACCATTTATAAAAACGTCCAAAGATACGTTTTCCTAGTTGCTGAACATGCAACTGTCGAATACATCAGCATTTATAAATTGTATCTATCCTATTACTCGTCGCTGTGCATTCACGTCATGAACATATCAAAATATATTAAAATTGTTCGTGCTGCGCAGCATAAAGGGACTGTAATTTCCTTTTTGGAGGTGTCAAGGATGCGTAGACCCTCCGAGACTACGTCTATCCATATTGGTCGTGTGAGTGACATGAAAGAGAAATTGAGTTTGTCGCTAATGACGTGCGTAGTGTCGAAGAGTTCCAATCAAACATTTTCCACCACGGGATTTGTCGCGAACCGTATAAGCGATATTTATGTCCGAAATTGTGAGGATTTACTCGTTTTGTTTATGTATTCCTTCGAAGGCAGATCTATCTCCGGATTCCGGGTGATTTACAAACGCCGAGGTCGTATAAGCGCATTTAAATATATCTTTTTACTCCAATATATTTAATATTGATGGCTGTTGATACCGGGCCCGCAGATATAGGGCGAAAAATTCTATTTCCGTCGTAGCAAATGGCTACTCTTATCTGGCCAAGTCCAGTGGAAATAAATTTACGGCCGTTGAAATAGATATACTTTCACATGGTAATCCCGGCTTTAAATTTTATTAAACTAGGAATTCTAGCGAGCATTCTCCCCATTTACGTAGCTATTCACTTTTCAAAGTTATCTTGAAGAAAATCATTCATAAAAAATAAGGAATCTAATAAAATCCAATGAACCATTTGTTCATTTAACCGAGGAGGAAGGTGCAGTATATTACTACTACTAATTATTAAATATATATTTTTTAAGTACCTATATTAAAACTAAAACAAAATTTTCTACTGTGTTTTTCCTTTCAGTGTCACATTTTTGGGTAGGTAATACTCTTTCATAAAAATAACCTATTGTTCCTTTTAGCGTAAGGCTTTACTTCATTAATTTTCTTCACGGGTTACAAAATACCCCAAATAAATAGAGAAAGAAACTAAAACTATGTAACAAATAAGTTGCTTCAGACAATGTAAACGAACTCTCCTTAATTTGTTTAAGTGACCGAAACACTTTGACGTCGAAATATGTATTTTTTCATATCTGTATTGCTCGAGCACTAGAAACATACAAAACCGTCCATTCCATTTCAATGATCCGAAACAGCCAAAAGTTCAGCTGACAAAGGGAAACCAGGAGAGAGATAAACACTATCCATTTTTCAAGTCCTTATCTCCTTTATTTGCCGTTTTTGTCGCCAAAACTAAACAATAGATGTTCGGCAGACGTAGATGTTAATCAAAGTTGAGAACGAATAGGCTCTTTTTATCATAATCAAGTGTAACAAAAAGTTATGCAAACTGCGATGTTGTGTTTTTCGTGGCACTCCGAGTGCTACGGTTTAAACTTACGGTTGAGGTAACGCAAAGTAAAGTAATTACTAATAAAGGTGTGTGAGTAAGGTAGTTTCTGTTATTATTTCTATTATTCAGTGTGTTATATTTAATTTATAGTATTTTTACAATTAGGTAGATACTATATTTATGAATAAATCTGTTTCTGTATTTCAGTTTCTCCCGAATTTTAACATAACGGATAAATTCCAGGTAAGAACGAATAAAAATACACCTTAAGGTTTATAATGAAGACAGTTAAATTAATTAATTATTTCTAGTTGTCTTTGCCCTGGCTACTATTTTAAAATTTAATACGTTAAGGAGGCATATCGGGGTCCGAGGGAAGTGAGGAGCGCAGGGGGGTCCTATGCTTTTCTTCTGGGACTAAAACCCGCTGCCAATTTGAAAAAATTAAATTCTATTGAAATTATTTTCGATAAACATTATCTATATAGCAAAGAAATCTACTCATATGCACATAGCATACATATTGACTAATTAACAACATAAAAATATCATATTTAAGTAGTTTTAAATTATATTTAATGAACGCATAAAGACTATGTGGATGTGGCAACAGCGCTAATAATTGACTAGCAGTTGTACACACTACGAACCTACAGACCTCGGACATCGGAGATATTGCGCGTCAAATTCGGGTAAAGATGCGTACGCGTTCAAAAATGGATTGTGTGTAAACTATGTACAATATAATTATTATATATAGCAAATATGTCGTATTATCCTCGCGAAGATTTGTATCCTTTATGTAAAATCCGTAAATAATGTGAACTGATAAAACACAACAATTATTAAGTTAATTTAGTTCTAAAGAAATGAAATGACAGTCGCGCCCATCTCTCGTCCAAGTCAAAGAAAATGTTGGATGCAATTTTAAAGGTTCTGTGATAGAAATTACATTATTACTCACTGTTCGTGTTTTTAATCTCTATTTTAGTAATGTTACAAAAATTTTGCAACTATAACTAATTTTTTAGATATAAAGTTTGCTGAGAAATATTTATGTTTCTTTGTTATTCCGTACAAATGCTTTTATCTCAAGTGTTACTAATTATATTAATCAAGTAAAGAAAACTTTATGTAACCCTAAACATTGCTGGGTAATGATTACGATGTTTTCATAAACCATTAAATATATTAAAAGGATTTATCAACTGTATTTTTTATTCCAATAATCATATCACAGCTTCCTAGTTTTTTCTAATTAATCTAGTTTTTAAAAACATTACAAAAAATCATCTGTTGTGGATAATTTATTGTTGATAACAATGTACATGGGATTTAGGAAAAATGTTTATGTTTGAAATCAATTTCGTTTTTATCAAGTCTTTCAAATGTATTCCCTCCTTGCTGTCAGCTGATTGCGACGTTGCCACATTAATCCTCAAGCCAAACAGAAATTCAATTATTGGTTTCTGTTTCTAATTAATACAGCTGTACTATGTTCAAAACTTACATTAGTTTTACATCAAAAATAAGATAATACTGTGTACTATCTATGGAAAAGTTTTGTTTCATAATTTCTACATTTTTTTCTCAGTTATGGGCAAAAAAGAGCCGCACCGTCCATCTTCGCCATATAAACCTATGTTAAAATGAACAACTTTCAAAAACAATATCTCAAAATCTAGATTCAAAAAAAATTTCAAAAAAAATATAACGCACAGAGGGAGCACTGGGTAATACGCTATATAAATTTCGAGTACATCTGTGCATTTGAGTAAACCCGATATACCTCCTTAAGACCACAACAAACTGCAACTCAGATAGATAGACCAAACCTGCAGTAATTCTTTGGGGAGTATTACTTTTCAGTCCAATGTTTTGTCTTTCTGGGACACAATAGCTATAATAGTATTGCCCTTAAAGGTAGAAGGAACGCTTAGCTCATACTCAAGTCGTCTTGTACTTTTCATTAAACGTTACTTAATCAATAGAAGGCCAGGCTAAAAAGCGAAATAAAATGATTTATCTGTTGTAAATACATGCGTAACATGTCACCAACATGCATGTGCAACTTTATTATATTTTATTGCTTCCCCTGTGCTTCGAAGCTGCAAAATCTGCGGAATTAAATACGTATACTAGTGCGCTCCTAAATGATTTGTAAATTTGAGACTGCCGCTCCGATCTTATATAATTTCAGCATATTGACGCTAGTACAAATTCATTGAGTTAGAAAACAAGCAAAAGAGATACATATATTAATTAAATATACAGCAATGCAGGTATCTATGCAAGATTATTCTCCCTATATGATTTCAGTTTTCATATTTACTAGGGACAATTTTGTAATGGTAAAAAATGTTTGCGTCGAATTAGGATTGAAAATTTGACGATGGGGGTAAACCCAACGAAAAACATAGGAATGAGGACATATATTTAAACAATAATTGGATTTGTGACTGCAACAGGAAAAACGTTTTACTTGCTTCCCGCGTGCGTTGTTTGCGAACGACCGCAGAGGGAAAGTTTGGAAGCAAAGCGGCACGTGATATTTCATACGTTTAAGAGAAAAAATGTGAAAAACACCGCGGTCATGATTTCCTACAGCGCATCCAAAAGTAATCAATAAAAAATACTTCGAATGACAAATTAAAAGACACGAAAATACCTACAGTCACAAAGTTTTTTCATAAATGATTCATTTTTGTTTTTAGAAAAAAAAAGTAAATAAAATAAACGATCTTAATGCGCTGAAGACAATGACATTGTATTTTTCTGAAGTAGCCTACTTATATAAAAAATTATCTTGATATATTTGGCATATTTTGAAATTCTCGACGGGAAAGTTTGTGGTTGTGATACGTATCGAAGCTTCTTGAGGGGATTTACGTGGGTAAAGTGATTAACTCAAGAGAAGCATGTCGGTTGAGGTCATGTGATGTTATAAGGTCAAAGTTTGCGGTTGCTTGGCAGACGCAAAATGTAGAACTTGGGGACTTTTATTGCTCAAGTTTTATATTCTCAAGTTAATTTTACCGCAGCGTTACAATCATATTTAGAGCTGGATGACGAGCTTATTTTTTTAAGTAATAAGGAATCAGAAAAAATGTTAGTTATATTTAAGTCATTGACTCTTGAGTCGTAGCAATGTATTTATAGTGTTATGATTTGTTCTCAAGATAACTTAAAACGTATAAAAGAAGGGACCAACATGTAAAATTTTTTAAATAAATTGAAATATTTAATAGTAATATAGACAAAACTGACACAAAAGGGATGCGGAATGCAGAAAAAATTAAAATGAAGGATATTTTTAAATGTAAAAATCGTTCTATGAAACGCCTCAACTGTCAAAATTATTATTAAAACTAAATCTATACATTAAATAGTAAATAAAATGCAATCATGCATTATAAAAAAGTTAAAAAGCATAATAAAGAACTATTTAATAAAGTCAGATATCATATTAATGTACAGATATAAGCAAATTTAGAAAAAGATCAGAATTTTGACAAGTTATGGACGGTGGGAAAAGGAATTTCAAACATAGATGAGTAACATGCAATAAATCTTGTATGAAATGAAAATATAGCATACCTAAAGGCAGTATTTATGAGTGAAATTAAACCTGAACCATTGTAAAGAGTTTCATGTTTCATAATGACAGATCTGTGTATCGTCAGAATTTGTAAATTTCTAGTGTTAAAAGTGTTGTAGAACTGCAAAATAGTTTGTGAAGTATGCAAAATACCTTCTTAACATCACAAACTGTATTGAGGTTCCAACCTAAGTTCAAATTTGTGTGTAAACTTTAAAAGTTCTCGATGAATCGATGAACCTAAAACTGTTCAATCGTTAGGTTTCAAAAAACAATAAAGGACTGTTAGAAAAGTGAAAAAGGGTAAATAGTAAAGACAGTCAGAAAAGTAAGCTGTATAGCTTAACTTAGCTAGAATTTTCAAAATTAGGGAAAATTTGGTTAGAGGTTGAAAGTTAACCTAGAAAGAAGTTAGTGGTATTAAAAAATGTAGAAAAATGCAAAGAATCAGAATATGTGAAGATCATGCAGATTAGAACATGCATAAAGTCAGTATTTTGAAAATAAAAATTCTCAAAAGTTTAGTTTGACATGTCCATAGCAACATTTCTTTTGTTTTCATTTCAATAAAACCAAAAATCGAGCTCATGGTAGCTAGTCTCTCATAAGTTCCCGAAGCAGTAACATCGTTAGTTTGATACCTAAAATACAATTGAATATTAATAAAAATCAATAAGTTCGTGAAAGTTACCTATCCAGCCATTTGAAACATGAAACGTCAGTCACAGCAAATCATGTCAAACACACAATGTCCATACATGGTTAAAATCCCAAAAAGTTTATAATCGCCAGTAACAGTAAACATAAAGTTCAACACTAAAATTTGAACTAGTTAAAAAAGGTAGTGAAATAAAGTGGAAAATCACAAAGTGTAGTGTAGTGGCGGCAGGTAACATCACAGTGGTTGCAGTCAGAACGAGCTCCTGGACAACAAAGTAGAAAATACCTTCGACCTACAAAACAGCAAACCCATCGTATATCCAGAGTTGGAAGGAAACCAGCATAACTACGAAGCGTATTGTGAGTTGCATACTGATCAGTATTGGCCAACTCAAATCTTTACGTGTCGACAGAAAAACATCAAATCAGAACATTGAAATTTTAGATTAAGAGGGGGAAATCTGTTTAATTGTTTTATTTAGTCTAAGGATTAAATTTTGTCAATTATAAAATTACAGTTACCTATAAAAATCGTAATATACTCATAATTGTGAAACTTTAAAAACATCTTTCATTTTAAACGACTATAAGAAAAATGAAATCAAAACAAAATAGAATCACAGGAAACCACACCTTGAAGTTGAGTCAGCTTTACTCAGTGATAATAATTTCAAAATATCAAATTTAAATAGAAACTTTTTCATCGAATGGCGCCCAACTAATAATAATTAACAGTTAACAACATAAAATTCAAATAAAAAAATTCAAACAAACAAACAACAAAAAAAATCATAAATTAAAATTTAAAATATAAATATATAATAATAAATTCTAATTTGCAGTCATCATTGCTGTTCGATTTTTTTCTGGCGTCGCCAATTCACGTATTGCCTGGTGAAAGCTCTACTAATAGCACCAAAAACTATTTTACTGACAGGAAATAATGCGTTGTATGTAGTAATTAATATTCTTATCACCAAATAAG